AGTGCAGAGGTTTGGTGACTGGAACTTGTGCTGTTTACAGACCTTTGGGGATGTGATTAATACAATTCAGGACTATCGGTGTTGACATACACTTATGTCACTGAGTCTGCCACAGCTGCCTGCAGAGCGGGGCGCTTCCACAACTGAAATCCATCTTTTCACAGCTCTGGAGTCCGGGAGTCCGAGATCAAAGTGTCGGCAGGGTTGGTTTCCACTGAGTCCTTGCTCTTTGGCTTGAAGATGGCTGTCTTCTGGTGTCTTCACATGGCCTTTCCTCTGTCTGTCTATGTTTTAATCTCTTTGTATAAAATGGAATTAAGGCCCACCCATGGGACTTCTTTACCTTAATTACTTCCTTTTTTTTTTTTTGTAAAAAAAGATGCTCACTTCAGTTTATTTTTATTTGTTTACTTTTTGGCCTCTCCATATGGCATGCGGGATCTTAGTTCCTGGACCGGGAATCAAACCTCTGCCCCTTGCAATGGAAGTACGTATTCTTAACCACTGGACCACCCGGGAAGCCTCCCTTAACTACTTTAAAGATGCTATCTATAATACAGTCACATTCTGAGGTGTGATGGTTAGGAGTTAGATATATAACTCTTGGAAAGTGAAAGTGAAATTGAAAGTCACTCAGTCAGTCATGTCCAACTCTTTTGAGACCCCATGGACTGTAGCCTGCCAGGCTCCTCAGCCCATGGGGTTTTCCGGGCAAGAATACTGGAATGGATTGCCATTCCCTTCTCCAGGGGATCTCCCCAACCCAGGGATCAAATCCAGGTCTCCCACATTGCAGATGGATTCTTTACCATCTGAGCCGCCAGGGAAGCCCAACAACTCTTGGAGAGGACCCAGTTCAGTCTATGACAGTCACAGAGCCCAGCACCCAGCCCCTCAAGTCTGACCCACCCTGTTACTTGCCATTAGCCAGACTGTCCACCATCATATTCCTTGCAAGTAGCAGTGAGTCAGAGAAGAAGGAAAGTCCAGCAAAGTCACTGGCTTCTGGCTCACAGTTTGGGTACTAAGGTCATTGGAAGAAGATTTTGAAACTAATAACTGTGGGTCCCTGTCCTCATCTGCTTAGACATGCATCTCCCTGGGTCCTCAGAGGTCACCAAGTGCCTTTAACTGAATCAGATCAGCTGCTCTGACTTGTATCCCCTCCCTACCCCTCTATCTTACAGAAGATTCTTTCACCAAAGAGCCACATACATTCCAGGCAACAGACTTCACCCTAGTGCCTGTGCTGCTCGGGTTGCTGTTGGGAGCCCCAGAACAAGGTCCAGCTGGCCCTGTAATCTCACGGGACGGAGGAGGCCCCCCACAGAGCCCCCCACATGCAGATGGGGCCAAGTCACCGGTCAGGGTCAGAGTCTGTTGGAGACTTAAGGCCACAGTCTCAAGGGAACTGTTTTGATCTTCATGAGGAATGAGCTCAAACACTTGGGAAAACCTACTCAAAAAGGGAAAAAAGACACCAACATTCACTCTCAAAGAGGCATCGGTGTTTGAGAGCAAGGAAGGCAGGATGGAGCAGTGTGTGGCACAGTCAGAGAAGCCGGGCTAGAGAAGCTGGGGAAGGAGATGGCACTGGAGCTGAGCCTGGGAGGGAAAAGAGAGCAGAGAGGAGGGAGGCCCCTGAAGTGGGGGCACGGCCTAAACAAGGACCAGATTCAGGTTGGAGGCAGCCAGGTTCAGGGCTGGGAGAAGGGGGCAGGCTCTTGCTCTGCCCGGAGCAGAGGCAAGTTCTCCGAATGTAAATGCACGGATGCCGCGTGAACCGTCCGATTTCCAAAAAGGACAGGGAGCTGACGGCAGTGCCTGCGGCCAAAGTGGGCCTGTAGACAGGGGCAGAGGCCAGCCTGCTCCCACACTCAGCACCTCTTCGGCATCTAAACCGAAGCTCCACTCCACTTTTTGGCAGGCCCTGAATGCGCTCTCCGCTGTCAGCATTATTGCTTTCCAGGAATCTCCTGTTTTTCAAAGTATTTTTGCCAAGATGTGATGTTTTGCAAGCACTGCCGCCCATCACCCTCCTCCCTTGTCAAACTGATGAAACCATCCGTCTTCCAGCCCCAAGCAGTCTCGCCCCACCCTGCCCTCACACCCCAGCTCACCCCAGCATCTGGCCAAGACCCAGGAGTCCCGGAGGCAGAAGACAGGCCCGTCTGTCTCCACCAGAGCTGGCGACATGGAGGGGCTGTGGTATCCTCGCCGCCCAGTCGAGACAACTGCTTGTTGGCAAATACCCCCAAGGGGCATATCTCCCAGGCAGCCCCTGAGTTCTGGCAGGAGACAGGGTAGAATTACTTCTGAGGATATTTGGACATGAATTAAGGGCAAGGGGCCCTTTCTAAAATATTTGCTTGAGGACTGGGTTTTAAACTCATTCCACTGCCCAGTGACTCCTGCCCCACATAAATTTATCAATATAGGAAAATATGTATTCAGTCTCCCATTTGTTACACCAAGGGGAACATAAGTTGCCTATGGAGGAAGGGTTTCAGGCTTGTCAGAGTCCGATACCTGGGGAATCATTTTAACCCAGTCTTGCAAATAAACATGGAACTTTGCCAGCCTGCCATTATACTTTGTCGGTCTAGGTGAAACCATATCTTCAAGCTGGAGAATATATGACTAATAATTATTGAACCGCAGGGCACAGGCTTCGTTTAGAAAGCTCATGTGTGTAAATGTACATAATCCAAAAGGGAATTCTATTTTACCAGGAAAAAAAACAATCAAAATCTTACACCTGTGACTCTTTGGCTTAGCATCCTTGGCGACACCCGTGGTGGTGCTGCTCCACCACGAATACTGGAGCGATAACAAATTGTACCTTTAATCCAGGCCTCAACACTAAATCCAAATTGTTCTTCTTTGTCATTCCTTGGAGGCCTGCAAGCTTTCAAGTAATTCGGAACTTAAGTCTTTCCTCACCTGTATACTGTAGAGCTCTTCCAACTGCTGTGAGAACCCTTTGGTGGGCAGCTACTGCAAGAAATGACCTTGGGCCTTCCTGGAAGCCTTGCCAAGGCCTAGCAGGGTGTGAAAGGGCAGGCAGGCTGTTTCATCCCCTGGTTTAGCCAACCCTGGGGGCATGGCTTCCTCAGCACCAGAGATGCAGTTTTGTGGGAAACAGAAAAGTAATTCAATAAGAAAACTATTTAGGAGTTTACAGGGAAAAATGACTGTTGTTCTGTTTGTGTGTTAGTTGCTCAATCATGTCTGACTGCTTGCAACCCCATGGACTGTATCTGCCAGGCTCCTCTGTCCATGGAATTCTCCAGGCAAGAATACTGGCGTGGATAGCCATTCCATTCTCCAGGGGGATCTTCCTGATGCAGGGATTGAACATAAGTCTCCTGCATTGCAGTCAGATTCTTTACCACCTGAACCACCAGGGGAGCTCCAGATGGCTGTTACCAGCCCTAAATAATATTTGCATTAGAGTAATTCTTCAGAAAGCTTGCTCTGCCTCTGAATGCTGATGCCGGACAACATAGAAGGTGGAAAGGAATTTCAGAGACTACAGAATCTTATATAGAAACCTGGTACATCAAGCACGTGAGTGAAAGGCCCACTGGCCCCTCCTCCTTACCCCAGATACCTCTTGGCATAGTGGGACAAGCTGGGCCACCCCCTTCCCGTGGCTTTCCTCCCCACTGTTACTCAAGCGCTAGCACTGGAAGAAGGCAGAAGTGACACAGCCTTCTAACATGGTAGTTCCATTGAAGAATGATGCCATGTTGGCTCCTTGGAATCACAGTCTCCCAAGTAGCGCCAGCCAGGCTGGGATATGGACTTGAAGCTCACACGCCTGCCTCTGGTATTCACTGCCTTTTAGTGATGTGACTCTGCCTGTCCTTGCAACTGCTCCTTGATCAGCCCCTCCTGTCAGCAAGCAGTTCCTCAGCAGTGAAGCCTGCCCTAAATGGTGGATACAAATAGTGCAATAAAAATCCTACCTGTTGTCAATGAAGGTTCACCAATTGTAACAAATGTACCACCGAATACAGAATGCTTCATATGCTTTTTGTATGTCTATTCAGTTCAGTTCAGTTGCTCAGTTGTGTCCGACTCTTTATGACCTCATGAATCACAGCACGCCAGGCCTCCCTGTCCATCACCAACTCCCGGAGTTTACTCAAACTCATGTCCATCGAGCAGGTGATGCCATCCAGCCATCTCATCCTCTGTCGTCCCCTTCTCCTCCTGCCCCCAACCCCTCCCAGCATCAGGGTCTTTTCCAATGAGTCAACTCTTCACATGAGGTGGCCAAAGTATTGGAGTTTCAGCTTCAGCCTCAGTCCTTCCAATGAACACCTAGGACTGATCTCCTTTAGGATGGACTGGTAGGTGTTATTAAAGATATATTCCTTTTCCTGGGTCATGAAGAGGGAATTTGCTCTAGAGCTGGTAACATAGCTAGTAAGCAGCAACGTCCAGCCACAAGGCAAGAACTGCCTCAGGTTTTTCTCCCTTTCAGTGTTAAGTCTATACCACCAACGCCTCCCCAACTCCACTTCCTGATACCTGTTTCAGTCTCTCCATCTCTCAATACAGTCATTCAACAGTATTTATCAAGTAACCACTGTATTCCTGGCACTGTTCTGTCACCGGGCTAAACAGCCAAAGTGGGCACACAGGACCCTCTGCCCACATAGAGCTTACACAGGAAATAAGTAAGCAAAGAAGCAAACAACAAAATTACATTTCATGATAACTGCAAAGAAGGAAATAAACAGCATGCTTGGATGGAGAATAACTGATTCCCCCCACATAATCTTAGAGCCATAGCCCAACCCAGAGGCCATCAAACTCCTGATATGCTCCTGACAGCTGGAGCACTTCGGTTACTCCTACTCCCAACGCCTTAAAAGAGATGCCCATGCCACCCTGGGGCCCCTGGTCCAACCACCCACCCAGCTGTGTGGAGCGGGGCAGAAAAGAATGGTGGACCTTCCGGGAGGAAGAGCTGAGGGGAGAAGGAAGTGCTGCGGGGGAACAGGAAGTGCCCAGAGGGAACAGGAAGTGCTGAGAGCAGGAAGTGCCTTGTGGGAAAAGAAGCGCAAGAAACAGGAGATAACAGAAGCACGCCTTTCACGGACCATCAAGGCAGAAGGTTGTCTTCAGCTGGTAAAAAGATGGAAATTCAAATCTCCTGAATCTTAACCAAACACACCAGGAAGACGCTTCTAAAAGGCTGGCAGAAGACAATACTCACAAGGCTTCCTTGTCTATGAGCCCAAGGCAGGATGGTGGTGAAGGGGTATTAAAATTTCCTCCTGTGGAGGAGGAAATGGAGGAGGAAATATGAATATGGAAGAATAAGAGGAAGAATTTCAGACACCCTAGCTAATCTTTGACAGCTTGGAGAGAATGGAAACCTCAAATAGAAGATAGTAACCCACCAGACTGAGCGACTGAACTGAGCTGTACTGAACTGAATTTCACCTTAGCCTGGGATAGCACTAACCAAGACTAGAAGACACTGCAGTCAGGTAGTTTTGCCAGTGTTCAGAGAAACTTGCAGGAGGGTGGGATCTCAGAAACATTTGCTGGAGGAGAACGGGCACAGAAGGCAAATACATCAAGGCCATGCCTTTACTCACATTACAACCCAGAGGCTCAAAGAAAGGGTTCTTTATTTTCTCTATCACTTCATCTGATATTCCTCGTGAGCCCACACCCTTCTCAATGAAGACTGGCCAATTAACAATAGTTTGGACTTTTCCAATTTAAACGGTCTCCTTTCAATGTAAACATTCAGTCAGTTTATTCAAAGTTCAATTTCCTATAAGGCTGGTCTTAACAGTCTCTTTAGGACAGTTCGTATTTCCTTCCCTGCTGCTCTTCTACTTTCCTATATGGCAGCTAAGTATTTGGAGGAGAGATAGGATTTTCATGACTCTAAAGAGACCTGGCATCTCTGAGCCTCCCTACTGGAAAGCTCCCTGAGCTGGATATTATGCCTGGCTCTGCCTGTCCCTCCAAGGGCACCCAGGCGTTTCTGAGGGTCCTTTCCACAGTGTAGCTGAAGACAATTGTGGAGGGTCAATCCCTGTTTCTCCCTCTGACCCACTGAGTTGATGTCTTCCCCAGCCTAGCACAGGGGCAGCTTGTGAAACGATCTCAGAAGAGTAACACAAATACTTCAGTGGATGAGAATCGTCCCCTCAGAGTCTGTTTGGCCTCACGGCTCTACTCATCCCAGCCTTCTCAACTGTCAGACTCTCAGGTAAGGCGCCGTGACGGCTCATAGAGAGTGAAATACAGCTTATTTCATTCATTTACCCAGTAGTCCCCACTGACTTTGGGGTTGTGACTGTGAGGGGATATTTGGACTAGGGTTTGGTCTTTTACCTCCTCTCCTGCAGTCAGCCCTCCACCAGGCCTTCCATGCCATTTGGAAGCAGCCAAGAGCAGAGTTTCTCCCAGTGGACTGAGCCTCCCTTTAATACACACAGGGAAACATGCCACTAGTCTTGAGGTCTTGGGCTGCCCATTCCTATCTGGCTGTATCTGGTAGCCCCATGGGATAAAAGTGTGTGAGCAAGATCCCTGATGCCTAACCCAGCCTTCTACCTTCTCAGTTCTTTTCTGTAGGGTGGGCTCAAGCTCTTCCCTCCATGTCTCTTATCTTTCCCCAATCCTGCAACAGGGAGCCTCCAAGTCTAGTTGTCCCTGGATGAAAGCCACCTCTTCAGTAATTGTGGAAAATTTTCAGGATATGCATCCTCCAGTGTGGGTTCTTAATATGTTTAGAAGTTTGAAAGTCCTCTCTCTCTCTCTCCATCAAGTCTGGGTTTCAAGACTATTGTCTTGCTAAAAAAAAACCCTACTTGGATGTTAGAAACTGGTTTCTCTTTGCCTCTTGACATAACAGTTCTGATTCTTTCCCAACCTACCCCGAGGGAGAACGGATGGCTTAATTCTGGATGAAGAACTGGGAGAAGGCCCTTCCCACGAAAATGCAAGGAACATTAACAATTTGCAAAAACAAAACACAAACAAACAAAAACCAAGGGGAAAAAATCTGTCTCTGTCTCATAAAGCTGTTACTGAGACTCAGTGCTTGGGCTCAGTCTGATTTGCTCCTATTCTCAGAAGAGTAACACAAATACTTCAATGGGTGAGAATCATACCCCCAGACTCTGTTCGGCCTCACGCCTCTACTCATCCCAGCCATCTCAAATCTCAGACTCTCAGGTAAGGGACCACAATAGTCACGTGACCCCACAACATGAGAACAGGCATTTCTGATTCAGCAGGAACTGGATGGACAAGCTGATGCCTTTTCAATGTCAGAAAGATGGACAGATGGGGCTGGACTTCATAGTTTTACACTTTAAGGCTGATCTCTTTTGCCCAGTGATGGAAAGGTCTCCAGACTATTTGCCACAACTCATAGAGACACCTGTATTAATCCCTTGATGCCCTCTGTATGGAGGATGCTGTCAGGACAGTGAGGGAAAACCAAGGAGAAACAGATCCAAATGCATGCACAGAGATCATTTCATTCACCAACTTCTCCAGCAGCCAGTTTAAGCAGACATTTTTATTTTTGATGATGGCCTGAAATTCCCCTCGCAACTTAATTTTCAAAAAACATCACAGTAACTTCTCTTTTCATCCTTTCAGAGCCCAGTGGAGTGGGTACAAGAGCACAGCCATCACCTTTGACAGATGCGTGAGCTTCTGGGACACAAAGAAATTGTTTGAGATGCTCAAGGTGATATGATTAAAATAAAACCCCCTGACACTTGGGTCATGTCCTTCCCATTGGGTCCCAAAGAGAATGGGGGGGGGGCATAAATCTTTATAAAGAGGCGCAGAGCTGAGTGATGCTATGAAACAGTATAGAGGGTGCTGGGTGCTCTAGATTCATGCTGGACTTAGAAACAGGAATTCAATGTAATATTATTTCACCATAGAAATGAAGTACTGATTCATGGTACATTGTGGATGAACCTTGAAAACATTATGCTAAATGAAAGAAGCCAGGCACAAAAGGACAAATGTTGTATGATTCCATTTAAATGAGATATCTAGCAGAGACAAGTCAACAGAGACAGAAAGTAAATTAATGGCTGCCAGTTGCTAGGAGAGGGGGGAGACAGAACTTAACTGATAATGGCTATGGAATTTCTTTTTGGGGTGATGAAAATATTCTAAACTTAGATTGTAGTGATGGTTAAATAACTCTAAGTATACTAAAACAATGAAATGTATACACTTTAAATGGGTGAATTTGTGCTACATGAATGACATTACAATAAATTTGTTATTTTTAAAAGGAAAAGAAAAGAAACAGGAATACTGGTTCTTACCCTGGACCAGCCACTGAGTAACCACGTGGCTTTACAGATGTCCCTGAACCTCAGTCACTCTTTCCACGCCCGTGAAGAGGAATAAGAGCATCCTTGGCAAAGTCCATGAACAAGTCCCAGTAGAATCTGGATAATAAATTTTTAATCTTTTTTCCTCCCCTCTGTACCTAAGTCTAGTGTCAGTTGCTCTTAAGGTAGAGGCCTGGCACCTGGCCCGTCAAACCAGGGCTCCTGGTTTCAAAAGTCTGCCCCCAATGCCTCAATATGGTGGGCTGTGTACAGAAGCACAGCCCACGACACCTCAACCCAAGATGGCAGCTGAGGGCCGTGTGCAGAGATGCTGTGTCTGACACTGTGATGAGCTGGGAGCAGATCACCTGAACCTGATGTCCGAGAACCTCACTCCCTCCCCACTGACCAGAAGCCTATAAACAGCCCTGTCCACAACCAGCAGGGAGAGCACGTTCTCTAGAATATAAGCACCCCCTCTCCATTTCTAATCAAAAAACAAAGATTTTCTTTGCTTCTGAACTGAACTGGGTCTTGATGCATTGGTTTATCTATTGGCTTGAATGACACTAGACTAGAGGACTCTTGCTGGAGACTGATTCGGAAGGATTGGTAGCAATAGTAATAATAATAATAATATCTGATCCATTCACCTCATAGGATGGTTGAAAGAATCAAAAATAAGCTGTATCGATGCACGTGATTCTCCGGGTGTGTCTTTGTGGAAGGATGTTTTATGACCCAACAAGTGTTTGGAGATGGTACTATGATGACTTGATACCAACAACTAGAATGTGCCCACACTCTTGTTTTTTTCTAATCTCATTTTGGGTATCGACCCCAGCATCTCTGTTCACTTATTTTAGGAGAGAAAGAAGGAAAACTTGTGTGCAATCAAGAATATATAGATTAGTCCTTTTATTCTTGCTTATAGGTGACTGGGGGTTTCTCCAGTGGCTCTGCGGTGAAGAATCCACCTGCAGTGCAGGAGATGCAGGTTTGATTGCTGGATTGAGAAGATTCCCTGGAGGAGGTCATGGCAACCCACTCTAGTATTCTTGCCTGGAGAATTCCATGGTCATTGGAGCCTGGTGGGCTACAGTCCATAGTGTGGCAAAGTGTCAGACACAACTGAAGCAAGTTGGCAGACACACACACAAAGTTGACTAAGCAGAGGAGTATGGCAAAGGATAGGGCCTCTTAGCATTCTGAGTCTGTACATTAGAAGAACACTTTATAAAGCCCTTTTACAACTTTTTCTCTTTGAGTCTTCACAGCAACCATGAAGGTAGGTAAGCAGGGTGAATCATATTACCTGGTTCAGAGCCTGACAAATTGAGCTGACAAGTGATGTGACTGTGACCACATGGCACCAAACCGAATTCTCCTAAGCGACCCCCTGCCGAGTATCTCCCCCCCCCCCCCACTCTGGTGCTAGACGTAGGGCTGAAACCTTTAGCACTTGAAATAAAAGATTTGAGCAACTTGAGCAAAGGCTTTTTTTTCCCCTCTGAAAGTCAGCAATAGTTCCTATTGATATTCTTTGAATGTTTAATATTTACAGAGTATTGTATCAATTTCCAGACTTAGGTTGAACCCTATTAGGGGCTCAGATCTGTTCCGGGACCCAAGAGGGGTGTGAAAGTGAAATGGCTGATGACATCTGAGATGGGTGAAACTATTAGTGGAGACAAGACAAATTATGAAATAATAATGAATGATTCAGGCCAAAACTAAAACTAGCATGGGATATGACACGCACAAGGCTCTAAAGGGACATTATGAAATAACACATGATTGAATGAATGAGTTAAAATTAATAAAAAGCATACTACTAAGTACTAGCTTGTGTGGTTCACAATATAAAAGATGTAGGGTTGGGATGGAAAATAAATCAATGAAAGTGAGTATTGTTAGGGGAAGTGTCATGGAAGAGAGATTTAACTGGATGTTCATAGATCACTGAAGATTTCCTATTTCAGGAAACAGTGAAGACAAGTCTGATAAGAGGGGAAAAGAACAAAGTCCCAAACATAGGATTATACTAGGTGTATATTCAGTAGTTAGTGTCTCAGGCAGCACTAGTGGTAAAGAACTCACCTGCCAATGCAGGAGACAGGAGAGACTTGGTTTTGATCCTTGGATCAGGAAGATGCCCTGGAGCGGGGCATGGCAACCCACTCCAGTATTGTTGTTTGGAAAATCCCGTGGACAGAGGAGCCTGGCAGGCTACAGTCCATGGATTCACAAAGAGTTGGACACACGTGAAGTAATTCAGCACACACATACGCACACAAGCAGTGGTGTGCTGGGAAATATTCAACATCCCTGTCTTGGTAAAACAAACCCTTATTTGCAGCATTGACTAGTTTCCAGGGTATAACTGCTCCAAGTATGGTTGATTTCAAGCTACCAGTATGACATTATTGAATGTGGAGTTGGGAAGAGAGAGGTGTGTTAGCTCACCAGCATATAGTATCCAGCATATAATAGACAAAAGTAGTCCCAAGACCAGAGATAATAGTAAACGAATTAGGGACTCATGAGTTTTAAATATTTATTAACTTTCTAGACATAATTCATTTAAACTTATATAATTTACTTTTTAATAATGACCGTGTTTAGCAATTGGCTCACAAACTTTCTGGAAATTTAGCATCAGCTCTTGTGAGCCAGGGCAGGACAGTGCCAGTGCGCTATTGCACGCACATAAAACAGAGAAACCAGACCCATGGGGATGGTTCAGATCGAAGGTTAGGGGGAAAGAGAATTCACTCCTTGGAGCCAGGTTAAAAAGACCAGGAAAGACTGAATGAAACTACTCTGTTCAGTCTCGTCCTACTGAAGCCTGAATGGAGTAGGACCTAAGGAGGCACTGAGACTCAAGCAAGGAAGCAGATGCCATGATGTTCAAGGAAGTCGAGAGGGATGGATAGGATGGAGGGATGTGGGGAAGACACAGGTGAGGGGCTGAGAGGCGGTGAGGTAAGGGGAGCTGGAAGTGAGGGTGGTAAACAGAACCCAGAAGGGGAGAGTAACGGGAGAGACATTTTGAAGTAAATGCGAGCACAACTTTGAGCACAACTGGATCTGGGGATAAGGAGACAGGCCAGTCAAAGGCACGAGACAGGCAGGTCTGGATGACTGAGTGGAAAGTTAAAGGTGAGAGAACTAGCTGATCTCAACACACTGGGAAGGGATACAGTTTCTTGAACCTGCCAGATTGGAGGCAACAGCCAGGGAGGTGTATGATGGAAATGTCTGTGGACAACTGTGAAGAGAGATGGGGCTGGAGCTCGGGGGAGAGGAACGTGGTGGAAAATGCCACCATCTTGGAGCGTCTCAGTGCAGAGGTGGCAGGAGAAGCTTGAGAAGGAAGAGCTCTCTGAGGAATACGCACAGAAAAGAAGGCCTGAGTGTTGGCACACGCCATCACCAGGAAAATGGGGGGAAGAAGAAATGCCGTGGAAGACTCCAGATTAAGAAGGCATCAGAGAGTAGGACACCCAGAGGAAGGGGTCAGAGACGCCAAGAAGGGGCAGCTTCCAAAGGGAAAGAGCATGTCGAATGCACTAGGGATGCTGAGTGAGTTAAAAGAGAGAAACATAAGTTTTCAGAAAGAAAGAGAGACACGTAGGAGACGGCTCACGAGAGAGCAGATACAGGCAGACAAACAGCTGATTCACTTAGCTGCACAGCAGTAACTAACATTACATTGTAGAGCAATTATATTTCAACCTAAAAAAAAGAAAGAAAAAAGAGAAACACTCGTGGAATTTAATTCCATCCCATGAAGAGAGAGAAATCTCTCCACCTCAGGCAGGAACTCTTCTCTTGTCCTGGGTCATCTGGAATCCACCTCAGTGAGGCACCTCGCTTCGCTTTCGTGGACACAGGGTCTTTGTTTCAAAGATGGAGGTTCCCAGTCAAGCAGTAGACGTGTGTGTTGGGAAATCTCAGCACGCTAGACTAGCCCTATAAGTAATGGATAACTTAGTAATCAGCAGTGATGACAGAGCTGAGATTACGGAAGTTAAAACTTGAGTAAGCATATAGGGAGGCGGAACACGACACAGGCAGCCCTCTCCGAGGGATATGAAGCTGCAGTTTGTGAAATTATCCGGTGGTTACGTTGACTCCAGTCGCTTCCTCCGCAAAACCTAAAACACAAGTCTTGTCCCTTTAGAGGAAATCGGTTTTAAATACCCCCAAATAATAAAGGATAAATACAGCTGTCCCCTTGAAGGAATGTGCTGTATACGAGCATTGCTTGTCACGGATGCCAGAGGTATCCACATACAGCCTTTAGGGACTGCTGTATAAATAATGAGTGCTCTTAAAGATGCAAAAGCCAATTCAACAGCATATTCATCGCTCTTATTTTGGATTATGGCTCTTGAGAGAGAAAACAGATCCCAAGCCAAGTAGAGAGAAAGACAATATCCCACATACTGTGTTTAATTTAACAGCAAAATAACAAAAACAAAGCTTATTCTACAGGTTTATTTCCAAAGTTTAGCAACTCTGGCCATTTTCTTGCTTCACAAGGAGCTAATATTAATAGCAAGAATATTTACATTCTCATCTTGTTTTAAAACATGTGTCATTTTCCCTTTAGTTCTCCCTTTTTGTCTCTAACCCTCTAAAAGGGTAACTCATGTTCTCTTTTTTTTTTTTCATTTTGTACTTGAATGATAAAATCTTTCTTAATTTCTTAACTCTTTATGATATATATTAAAACCTCGCCCATATTACGCACCAGACTTCAATTAGGGGACGATTATTTCCTGATTCTATCACCTTAGCTCCATGGGATTGTGCTACAAGCAGGAGAACCACAGGAGAAATGACTAAAAATGACAAAATTTGTTTGTTGGCAGGGCTTTGGGGAAGCAGGCGCACTAAACTTTGCTGGTGGCACCATAAACTGAAAAAAAAGTCTTAAAAAGCAATTTTGCAATATGTGACAAGTCATAAAAATTATTCTACTCTTTGACCTGGAAGAGCCTCTTGGGGAAAAATGTCCCCAGGAATCATTCCAAGGAAACAAACTTATTTGCAAAAAAGAGATGTTTCTGGTCCTGTCATATATTAGAATGAATCCTTGGAAACAGCCCAAGTACCCAACTGTGAGGAAATGGTTTGGGCAGACTGTGCTCTATTAATACAATGGAATATTAAATGGTCACTAGGAAGGACAATTATAGAGACGATTATGAAATCTGGGAAGAATCATGCAAAGCATTCTGAGTGGAAAAAAGTAGAAAATAGATCAGTACACAAAAATAAAAAGTAAACTCATCTGATGTAAATAACTAGCCATATAAGGGTTCAGTTATTGGCACTCTGTATTCTTTTATTTTACTTTGGGCCTGTTTGACCTCATTGTTTACTAAATCCTACAACTCTCAACTAGCAGGCAGTTTAGTCCCCTCAAAGGGGAACAGCAAAATCAGAAAATGGAGGAAAGGAGGAGGTATACATAGTTTAAAAACAATGCTGGGGACCTTTCCTCATGATCC